GCAGAAAAAAAAGAAAAAAAGGTTGGCAACAGTTGTTAGCCCAGGTGCCAATCCTTAAAAAAATAAAAAATAAAAAAAAAAAATAAAAAAAAAAAAAAGGAAGATTGGCAACAGTTGTTAGCCTAGGTGCCAATCTTTAAAAAAAAAAAAAAAAAAAAGATTCTATCTCATGACCTATTAGAATTTATTCCCGAAATCCAAGGATGGTTCAACACATGAAGGTCAATCAGTATAATACACCACATTGACAGAATGAAGGGAAAAACACAATCATCTCAGTTGATGCAGAAAAAGTATTTGACAAAATCCAACACCCTTTCATAATAAAAATACTCAATATAAACCAGGAATAGAAGGAAACTACCTGAATATATCAAAAGCTATATATGAAAAGCCAATAGCAAACATTATACTCAATGGTGAAAGACTGAAAGCTTTTCTTCTAAGGTTAGGAACAAGGCAAGAATATCTGCTTTCACCATTTCTGTTCAATATAATACAAGAAGTTCCAGCCAGAGCAATTAGGCAAGAAAAAGAAATAAATGGCATCCACATTGGAAAGGAAGAAGTAAAATTATCTTTGTAGATGATACAATCTTTTGTGTAGAAAATCCCAAAAAGGCCACGAAACACTGTTAAAACTAATAAGTGAATTCAGCAAAGTAGCAGGATACAAAATCAATAAGCAAAAATCACTTGCATTTCTATACACTAACAATAGACAATCTGGAAAGGAAATTAAGAAAACAATTCCATTTATAATAGCTTCAAAAAGAATAGAAGACTTAGGAATTAACTTAACCAAGGAAGTGAAAGACCTGTACAATGATAACTACAAAATGTTGCCGAAAGAAATAAGAGACACAGATAAGGGAAAAGACATCCCATGTTCATGGATTGAAGACCCAACATTGTTACGATGTCAATACAGGCAACCCTCAGAGATATTGCAGGTTCAGTTCTAGACCTCTGCAACAAAGTGAATATTGCAACAAAGCGAGCCATGCAAATTTTTTGGTTTCTCAGTGCATATAAAAGTTAAGTTTACACTATATTGTAGTCTATTAAGTGTGCAATAGTATTATGTCCAAAGAACATGTACATAACTTGATTAAAAAATATTTTATTGCTAAAAAATGCTAACCATCATCTGAGCTTTCAGTGAGTCATAATCTTTCTGCTGGTGAAGGGTCTTATAAAAAACAATATCAGTGAAGCGCAATAAAGTGAAGTATGCCTGTACTATTCAAAGCAATCTACAGATTCAATGAAATTCCTATCAAAACCCCAGTGAGGTTCTTTGCAGAAAAAGAAAAATAAATCCTAAATTCATATGGAATCTCAATAGACCCCAAATGTCAAAGGTTCTTGAAAAAGCAGAAAGCTGGAGAACTTGCTTCTGACTTCGAAATTTACTACCAAGCTGTAGTAATCAAAACAGTGTGATGCTAGCATAAAGACAGGCGTACAGGCCAATGGAATAGAACAGAGAGCCTAGAGATAAACCCTCCCATATATGGTCAAATGATTTTTGACAGCAGTGCCAAGATCATTCAATGAAAAAAGGAGTCTTTTCAACAAATGGTGCTGGGAAAACTGAATATTCACATGCAAAAGAATGAGGTTGGACCCTTACCTAACACCATACACAAAAATTAACTAAAAATGGATCAGAGACCTGCATGTTAAGAGCTAATATTATAAAACTTCTAGAAGAAAACATAGGGCAAAAACTTCACAACACTGGATTTGGGATGATTTCTTGCATATAACACCAAAAGCACAGGCAACAACAATAGCAACACACAAACTAGACTTCATGAAAATTTTTAAAATCTGTGCGTCAAAGACAAGGGATTAATATTCAGAATATATAGAGTACTTCTAAAACTCAACAACAGCAGCAAAACAAACCCAATTCAAAAATGGGCAAAGGACTTGAATAGTTATTTCTCTAAAGAAGACATACAAATGGCCAATAGCATATGAAAAGATGCCTGGCATCACCAATCATTACAGAAATGCAAATCAAAACTACAATGAGACACCAGCTCACACCAGCTGTTAGGATGGCTACTATCAAAAAAAGAGAAAATAATAAGTGTTGACAGGGATGTGGAGCAAGCGGAACCCTCGTGCACTGTTGGTGGCAATGTAAAGTGGTACACCTGCTGTGGGAAACAGTTCAGCTATCATACGATCCAGCAATTCCCTGGATATACCCAAAAGTAATGAAAGTAAGGTCTCAAAGAGATATTTGTACACCCATGTTCCTAGCAGCATTATTCACCAAAAGGTGAAAACTACCCAAGCATCCATTATCAAGAAATGGAAAAGCAAAATGTTGTATGTATATACAATGGAATATTGTCCAGACTTAAACAGGAAGGAAATTCTGACACATGCTACAACATGGATAAACCTATGGGACACTACACTAAGTGAAATAAGCCAGTCATAAAATGACAAATATTGTGTAATTCCACTTTTTATGAGGTACCTGAATAGTCAAAGTCTTACAGGAAGAAAGTAGAATGGTGGTTGCCAGGGCCCGGAGGGATGAGGCGGAAGGGGAATAAGTATTTAATGGGTACAGGATTTCAGTTTTCCAAGATGAAAAGAGTTCTGGACTTGGGTAGTGGTGATGGTTGCATGACAATATGAATGCACTTAATGCCAGTGAATTGTACATTTAAAAATGGTTAAGATGGCAAATTCTGTGTTGTGTGTATTTTCCTACAAAAACATATTTTTGAGGAAAAGAAAAGAAAGCTTGCTCAAGGTCATACAGCTATCAGTGGGGGACAGAGACTAGAAGGCAGGTTGTCTGACCCCAAAGCTAGTGTTGCTGCCACAGCACTGGCGCCCCTGTCAAAATGCACCACACAGGTTCCTTCCCTGAGCTGGCAGCAGGCCTTTCTCTACAGAAGCTGCTATCATTTACTCACCTCATTTAAGCAGTGGAAGAGCATTCTGAAAGGCCTGGTTACACAGAGACACAGAAGCCAGGGCTTGACTCTCTTTGTTTCTAGTCTAGGAAACTGAGGCAGACTTAGCACCACGTTCTGTCGGCTACTCATCTTTTTTTTGGTGGGGTGGTGGGGGATTGTTTTAGGAGACGTATACATGTGTCTACAAAGTTCATATTAACACACCAGTTACCACATGTAAAAATTGTAATGGCTGGATGAATTGGGCTACGAAAGCAGAAAAGTGTAAGGCCAGCCTCCCTAAGCCCTCTGAGCTGACTAAGTTGTAACTGGGGGAGGGGGAAGTACTGGCTCCTGGTCAGGGCATGGGCTCTAGATGCAAGGCTACCACTGAGAGGGGCAGCAGGTCGCTGCAGAACAGGGATAAAACACACCTGTACTTCCTCAGTTCCTTATTAGAGGGGTCAAATGAGATGACGGGACAGCTCCTTACTCAGGAAAGTTAGAAAGTGCCAGACAAAACTGAGATCTGACTAATATTATTTTTGGATGAACTTTGCTTTTATGAATCTAATTCCCTTTGTGCATACTGTCTTCTAGGTCCTCACTGCTGCCAGGAACCACCTACAAATCCCTGAAGGAGGCTGGGAGAGGGAGGACGGTTCCTGGCCTAGCACGCTGTTTGTGACTCTTGGCTCAGTATTTTTCAGATCATGGTTAGGGAAGGGATCAATAAGAACCCTTTGTAGGAAGAGAGAAGGAAAGGAGAAACTGGAAACCGGAACCAGGTGAAGTAGCCCTCAAATCACTGATCCACACCTGCCTCACTCACAACTGCCAACCTTGCTGCTTATTTCTGTCTGCAAGAAGAGGACAGTGTCACCCTCTTTCCAGACCAGTGGTTCTCAATCAGGGGTGATTTTGCCATCTGGCCATGTGTGGAGGCTCTCATGACGGTCACACTGAGGGGTGGGGTGTGCTATGGAATCTACAGGTGGCAGTCAGGGATGCTGGGAAACTTCCTACAATGTACACGACAGCCCACCACAACAAGTGGCCCGGAGTCAATAGTGCTGAGGGTATGAGCCCTGCTCTGGTCAAAGGCAGGCAGAGGCAGCTTCGCCCAGAACTAGGGGGAAGCAAGGCTGTCTGTGATGCACACCAGGTGTGTCAAAGGAACAGCTCTATTTGAAAAGAAATGGGGCCTCACTTGCTGATTCCTTCTCTCGTAAGAAGCAAAGTCAGGCGCTTCCAGCCTCATGCTTTTTTACGCTTTAAACCTGCCAGGGCGTTTGTGAACTCGATGTTGATGTGCTTTCCCCATAGGCAATCCCTGGAGTAGGCTCCTGGCCCAGCCAGCCTCCCAGCCTCTCCTCTCAGGGCTTGGGGCTTTCTCCCTGCTCTCATCTGGCAGATTAATCAGATTTGAGTTTATTTGTAAACCAATAAGCACTTCAGCCACTCTGCTTTTCAATGAGCCAACAGTCCTTTTGTTCCATTTTCTGCCCCTGATTCTAGCATACTCTTACAGGAACACGAGAGGCAGCACAGTGAGTAAAAGCCTGGCTTCCAGAGCAAGAGCACTGTGCCCTTGGCAGGTTAAATGGAGGATAACCATCCTTACCCCACAGGCCTGTTGTCCTGAATACACGAGTCACCACATGCAAAGTGTAGAGAACAGTGTCTGGGACACAAGGCGAGACCCAGCCATCACTATTGTTGACGGCCATGAGGGAAGTGGTCCTGACTCAGCTTTGTTAGCTAGGAGGTCAATTTCCTTAGTGTTTCTGTGAGGTTTCTAACAAAGTCATCTTACTTTTGGGAATAAACTGGAAGCTCAAAGCTATTATCATTTCAAAAACGGGTTACAATAGAGTATGCTATATCATCTTGGCATCACCTTACAACGACTTCACTATGTAGTTGGTCATTTTTATCTACAGAAAAATTCTTTTGAAGAAATAAGGCCCAGCTAAAACACATATGATGAGAAAAACCTGTCTGGAGTTGAGAGCTACAGACAAGCAGACTTATGACAAGTTGGCAGAGCCCAAGTAACACTATACATACCTTGCTCCCTGTGAGCTGTGCAAGGTGAGGTTTCAGCTCTTCTCCGATTACGGAATAAATCGCCACTAAGCAAAACACGCTGGCCTTACGCACACTACTTTCGGTGTTGTCATAACCCTAGAGTGAGAAGGGGGACACAAAAAGGAAATGAGATCAAAGATGTGCTTCACAGTCACTATTTCATCCACATTTCCGCAAACGCCCTCATAGTTCAACCTTGGACTTGTCAGTAACAACCAATACCCCCTAGCTCTGCAACGGAACCCAGACAGGGTTCACCCCAGGGAGGTCAAAGCTTAGTCCCTGGGTGCGGAAGCGGACTGCTGGTGAGGTCCAGAGGGCGCTGCTTTGTAATGAGCTGCCACAGCAGTGTCACCCAAAAAACGTTGTCAGAGAGAATGAGAAAAGAAATGAAGGGCAGAAAAGAACTTGCTTCTTCCATATTTCTCCCAATGATAAGGCAAATTTCACATGTGAAAATGCCTTTAAAGTAACGAGAACTACCTCACTCGCTCTTGTGGGCAAACTCCTCTACTGTCCAAAGACTACTGGGGCCCGTCTAGTCCCACAGCCTGACACGTGCATTCCTCCACAGCTGGGCCCCAGTCTACCTGCCAGCCTCACCCTTGTCCCATACCCAATGCAGCTACCTGCTGTTCTTCAAACAGCCCTGAGGATTTTTCAGCCTTTGTGTCTTTCCCTCTGTCTGGAATAATCCAGTCCTCAGCGCTATGTATTTAAATTCCCAAGCCAAGAGCCCAACAAGCAGCAGCATTTATTAAATGTGAAGCTGCTTTCTCTCTACCCTTCCCCATGAAATCGCTCTCTCTCTCTAGGGCCCAACTCTAAATCACTTCCTCTGTGATCCCTCTCTTACCACTACCCCAACCTGGAAATCACCTCTCCACCTCCGACGTGAGAAATCTTCACCTGCTCCTCTCTACAGTAGCTCAGCAGACGGCGCCACTATCTATACTTGTCTGCATGGCTGTACTGTGTCCAACTGCAGGTTGAAAATCCCTGAGGTAGTGCCACCACAGTGGGAAACATCCTTTATATTCCAAAGTCTAGCTAACTCAATGCCTCATGCTTAGAAGGATTTTAATAAATATTTGTTGGATATGTAAAAACAAGGACCATTATTTGATTTTGCACTCCATGGCCCACCTTGCCCAGGGCTAGGGCCCACAGATTTGCAAGAACGGTTTGTTTAAGGAATGAACAACAACAAAAATGATCAAAATATGTTTATAGTAAACAGAAAGTTCATTCCGGGAGCCGCAATTCTAGGCTGCCAGGAAAATCTTCCTGCTACACTCAGGGGAGGGTGGACGAGAGACAAGAGAGAAGCTGTGAGGCGTCCAAGTCACACAACTTCACAGGTTTGAAAACACAGCTCACCACCTGGCCCTTCCTACCTGCCCCTCAAGTGAATGAGGAGAGCAAAGTCCCCACACCACTTGGGAGTTGAGCAGCCACTGTTCCTGGCCTCACAGCCCCATGCAGACAGGCACTGGGCCATGCCATCATGAAGGGCCTACCTGCAGCAAGCCCGGTATGATGTCGGCAAGGAGCTGCAGCAAGGACTCCTTGGCAATCCTCTCGACGACTTTGGTCTGCATCTTGATGGCGGCGAGGTTGATGGGGTAGTCGGCTGTCTGGATGATGGGGCAGAGCACTTTGATGCACTGCTCCGGGTGGATGGAACTGGCCAGCGTGGACGCAGCCTCCTCGGCAGCTCTCACCACCTGAAACATGGGTTCCCCCAAATGAGTGAGCTCCACATGCCACAACAGGAGAAAAGACCAAATAATATTTCAGAGGCCAAGTGACAGAGGCTTCACTCACTGCTAGATGGCAGCTATCACTTCCTGCCACTAATTTTGATAAGGAAAGTAAAGCTGAGAGAAGTGGCCTCCAGTGTGGTCTCCCCCTGCAACAGCAGCAGCCCTGAGAACTGGGCAGAAATGCAGCTTCTTGGATCTGCTGAACTAGAGACTGTGCGGGTGCAGCCCAGCAAGCTGTTTTAACAGGCACTTGGGAGACTCCTGTGTACACAAAAATTTGAGCGTCTCTGCCCTAGAGGATTAGGACCCAGGAATATAAATGCTTTCCAATGGCGTATGGGACACACACAACTGGAATAGCTGGCAAGAAGCCTCTAAAGAAAATCAGAATGACTTCAACATTTATGTTTCCATGGAGGTGCCTAGTTGCAAAGCAGTTGGGAAAGCTCAGAAAGAACTCTCTGAAAGTGTTTTCCTGAGGGGCCTCATGTGGAAAGTTGCTTCTCCAGGAGTATGTACTCATGGTATCACCTCACCTTGCACTTTCAAGGAAGTACATGAAATGGCTGCCTCATGACCAAAGGAGCGGCCTCTGAAGAGATCTCGACGCACTAGGGTACACAGAGGACATGTTCTAGAAGTCACCAGAAGGTCCACAAAAACCCTCTGTAATAAAGGTAGAAGCTAAATGCAAAACCCACCGAGGAAGAAAGAACACAAGCCCAAGGCAAATCCCAGTCACGCCACTCCCAAGTGCAAAATCCCATGTCCTCATCTGTAAAACGGTGGTGTCTCACAGAGATCATCCGATGAGCAATATCCAGTTATGACTGAGATTCAGAAAATGATAGTTACTGCTCTTAACAGCACAGGAGTACATACATTATACAAACGATATACGAAGACACCAGGTATAAAGAGGTATGCATTTTCTTACAAAATACAATGAAAAGCTAATACTTTCTCCTACTGCAGGCCCTGGATGGGTCCTTCTACCCAGATTCTTTGTGTTCTGCTGTTCAAAACAACTCAGCTCTGTCTTCAACTCAGCAATGAGACAAGGCTACCAGCTCAAGCCTTCAATCATCCCAGCACTCTTGTGATTTAAATAAAAACCGATGAAAGAAAACCACATACAGACCATCTGGAAAGCATCTTCTAGTCCTGGGCACAAGCAGGCTAAAAGTCAGTCCATACAAGCCAAGGAAGGTAGGAGACACAGAAAGGCAACCTGAGCCATATGGTGGCCACATGGGCTGCTTTAGGCCACCTTAGGGCCTGACTGAGGCACCGCCCCCAGAGCCCCAGGTCCTCTCTCTAGGAGGGTCAGATTTCAGGGCTTTCCAGCCACAGCTTCTGGACAACATGCCAGCAGCTCAGCCTCATGTTCAGTCCAGGCTAGACTACCTTGTGAACAGGGCTCATTTCCAGAGTGTGCCTCATTGCTCCACGTGTCTGCTCTGCTCTCTGCAATAGTAAAGGGAAATCCCGCCAACACTAGAGAGCTGAATTCATCTCATTTGAACAATGACACATTTAAGGTGGGCCATGCTGCTAATAGTGGGGTTTTCACTAAGAAGTTCTACTTTGGCCATTCATGCCCCCACACTGGGCAGTTAACGCTATGAAAAACCTGGAAGGAAATGTACAATATGTTAACCCTCGTTATCTCAGGGTGGTAAGATTACGGGTAATTTTATTTTCTTCATATTTATTATACTGGAAAACTGCAAAGAATGTTATATTAACGTGCACAGCAAGGAAAATGTATTTGTAAAAATCTACTTAAAATGCCCTTTGGGATTCAGGGAAAGTCAGCAGTCTGGCCCTTGGTTCAAGGTGGGAGGTGCCAGCGAGCTGCCCTGCAGGATCACGCAGCCTCTGTGAGGTCTTCCTGACCTGGACCTGATCCCTGGGATGGAGTAGGTACCCCCTGGGTGTTAGCTAATATTATTATAATCATTACTATTTCTGCCTATCTCCCACTGTTCCCACAAACTCCCCTCTGCTAAGCTAGGAAACTCACTTCCCTCGAACGTGGCTGACACATGTGCCCTGACCCTCCCAGGCCTTCTTGACTACCAGAATGATCTCTTCTCCCTCCACTTCTAAGAGTTCTTCTCTATTTCCGGCACCAAATGTAGACTGCTTTGTATTCTTGCTGACATGCCCGTGTATATTTCTTCTTACCGAACAGGCTGCAAGGGCAGGAGCTAGAACATTTCTTTTGCACTCTGAAGAACTCAGCAAGGCTGGGCATTTACCAGGGGTTCAACTCTTACTGATGGACTCAACTTCATTCTCCTGTCTGTCCGAAGATATGTTCCTGTTTAAAGAAGCCCTACCTTCCTGAATTCTGAGAGTCATATTTCTTTCTTGTTGGAGGCCTTCTGAACTTTCCCTAGGGGTACCTGCTGTCTCTGTAAGGTACTGCTCAAAGGCTGGGTGTCTTATGAAATAAGATCACTCCCCCTATCATCAGCTGGTCAGCATGCTCAGGGACACAACGCACACACCTGTGGCGGCATACACTGGGATTACGTATTAATCCTTTTAAGAGGCAAAGGAGACCCTGATCAGCATAGTTCAAGGGTAAACACTGTGTACATATGAGAAGACAGGTGTCAAGTACATCCAGGATTTGTCTGTGCTTATATATATATATGCGAGAGGTCAGGCTTGGGTGCAAAGCACCACAGAGAGGTAATTTTATCTTAATAGAGTCATGTCCTACTCTCAAGAAGCTCATAAGATTCTTAGAACTTGAAAGCCTTGGCAATTTTTCCTCACCACCCTCTGTGTGCATTCACTCACTCCTGTGTGTCAGGAATGAGCTCAGAGCTCAGGCCCCAGAGGTGAGAATGATGGGTCCTGGGCCTCACCCTCATGGTGGTGGGCCAGGTTGGGGTGGTCCGTGTAATGGGGCAGCGTAAGGATGCAAAGACCAATGAAGCGGTGGGACGAGGCCACAGAAGCAGGCAGGGGCCAGATGGTGGGGATCTGCTACCTGAGGAGTTTCCTGTAATTGGCCAGGATTAGATGGAAGGAGGCTGGTGAGCTGTGGGAAGTAGAATCAATGTCTGCAAAAGGCTTCTCTGGTGTTCTGTGGGGATTCCTCCAGTTGAAGGGCCCTCGGCCATGCAGAGCCAGTCCACCCTGCCTCTGCCTCCCCGCCAGTAAGCACGTGGTTTGGGTTAGCCAGGCACCTCAATATAAGTGAGCAGACTTCCCTGTTGGCAAGCATGAACTCAGTCACATTTATGGCATCTCACTCCACGTCACATACACACAGGAAAGAGGCCATCAGAAGAAGCCCATTGTGACTTTTTTCTTGCCAGCTCAATCTCCTGCAAAGTGCACTTTTTCCATACAGATCCCCCGAAAGAAGAGTGCTGTTTGGCCCTGATGTGCGTGCCGTGACCTTTAACCTTTTACCTCAAGTAAAGCAGCCTCCAGAGTTGGATAGGCACATTCTCAGCCTCTGAGAGCAGCAGGGCAGACGAACCTCAGTTCAATCCTCTGGCAAGATACTTACTTGGTCTGAGTCTCAATTTTTTTAAAATTCTAAAATGAGGATTTTAAAATATCTACTTTTACAGTTATTTGGATTAAGAGAGAGAACATACAAACAATTGGAGCTACAAAACATGCAATGATTATGAGCTAGGCCTTGGTATGAGGACCACCATCAGAGGTGACATTGGGCAGGAGAGGTGTCACCAAGAGGCACAGCATTGAACTTGGGAGCTCCAGGGCTGTCAGAGGGCAGAACTCTGTCCAGGGGACCGCTCCTACCCAGGCTGTGCCAACATGGAGCAGGTGTGCCCTCCCCAATAATCACTTTAGAATGCTAACCTGATGACCAAGCCCAGGGTTTTCAATACAGCAAGGAAGGTCAAGAAGGCCTGGCTCCTGCCTGCCTGTCTAGTCACATTTTTTGCCCTCCCTCTTCCTATTGTGCCCTGCTGACAGAGGTGAGGGCACACCCTGCATATACCCTGCCAGCCACATCTCAGAGCCCTTGTCTAACCCCTTCACTCTTCCTGAACGTCGTTCACTCATGTTCTTCACCTGGCTTGGTCAAGTCATCCTTCAGGACCTACTCACCTCAACAGAACCTCCAGGAAGCCTCATGTGCACACCTCGATCACTGCACTTAAACGTTTTGCTGGAATTGTTTCTCCCACTAGACTAAAAGTTCCTTGAAGGCAAGCTCCCATCTCAACCATCTTTCCACCCCCATGCCCAGCACAATGTCCAGCATACACTAGGTACTCGATAAATATTTGTCAAACTAATTTTCCTACAGTGTACATATTTTTAAATGTTCACAACTGGGAAATTCACCCCTGAGGTATGCCTCACCGATGTGCGTTTACGTGTTCCAACTAAGATGCTAGCCTAGAAAATGACGACGAGGCAAGATATCCACAATGACTAACTTGGGGCTTGGGAAAAATCAACTGTACAACGCCCAGAGTGCCCCGTTCTAGGTGACACACTAGAAAGGCAACAGATCTGTTCTTTGGAAAAGAGACTTTAGTTCAGGTTAGTTTTTTCCAGAAATCAGTTGTTTGAAGAGGAGTAGCGTATTTCTGAGAAGAGCTCCATCGTGCACTGAACTCCCTAAGATGAAGTGTTTCTCCTCCTCCTCAGTTCGTGCACATCCCTAAGACTGCTTTCAGTCCCCAGCGCGTCCTTAGCCTGTGGCTGAGTTACACACAGCTAAGCAGATGGTGAAAAGTGGAAGAGGGGGTCCACCCCTTTTCTGATCTGGTCCTGCCGTGAGACCATGCTCAGAAACCAATGCCCTTCCACTGTAAGAAACCACTGTTCATACATAGTGCAACATTCTGGCCAGAAAGCTAAGTAATAGTAACCAAATGAGGAAACTGTGTGTGCTTTTAAACATGGAAAAAAAAAAAAAGAAAGGGTCAGGAAAAACTAGATGATTTCACAGA